TGCATCACAAACTATGGCCCCATTTCTTTAACAAGTCATGCAGAGGAGAGCAGAGCCCTGCCTTCACCACTGTTCCTGCTTTCATTAAATCTGATATCAAACCTGTCAGATGGAAAAAGGCAAAGAGACTCTGAGGAAAAGAGCAGGTTCAAGTTCAGCATGGGCTGTATTCAAGGTCTGTCAAATGGGGGTGATATCACTTGCCTAACTCACAGGAAAGCTCAAGTTTGCAGAGAGCTCTGCAGATGTCAGAATTATAACAATCGTTAATTAGAATATGATCATTCAGCTTAAGTTTTGATTTTTGGCATACTTTATCCTCTACCCTTTCTATTACAACTGCAGAATTGAAATTTCATTTATCTTCATTGTCTGCAGTTTTGAAGTAATGGGAAAAGTTCACAGTGAAGGCTTTGAGGTGTTGTCCTGTTATCAAGGGTTCCTATTAACTACATTGAATTGATTTAAGCCTATTAGTTTATCGAGAGCATAATCCCATTCTTTAGCTTTCAAGGGAAAGCAGCAACTATCTCAGTTAATTACTGTTGGTACCCCAGAGCAAGCAAATGTTCCGCGGTCCAAAGTAATTGGTAACGATTAGGAATGAATGTGTACGTATGGTCCTGCTAACTCTAACTTGTAAGGTTAATTGGAAAGACTGGGAGAAGTGTGGGATGTGAAATAAGTGAATTTTCTTCAAAAAAGAAGATGAAGTTTCCAGCGTACTGAAAAAACAGATGTTTTACTTGGCATTTATATAAAGAACAGGTCATGAAAAATCCCTGAATCAGCACAGAAATGCAACAAAAGCCATCAAAACCAGTTTTGCCAAGGAGTTGGCTATTTTCAATACACAACTGTGGAGAACTGAGGGAGCAACCCTGCACGGGGACCACAGAGGTTCAGCTGCCTGCAGATCCTGCTTGCCCTCACCACAGGCAGCTTTAGGGTCTCTCTCCTGAAGATCCTCTGCTTTATTTCATGCCCTGCATCCCACCAGCCCCACAATGACATTGCAAGCTGAGAGCATGGTGGGAGTGGTGAGGGGGAGTTTGTCTTGCCTGCACTCCTTCACAGTCATAATTACCTGCAGGGGAAAAGGGAGCTGGTGTTTTTTCTGGATGTGAGGAGTGCAGGTGGAAGGAGGACCTGCATCCCAAGATGTGGGAGGTGAACAGGACTGAAGGAACAGGAATGTGTGGACAAAGCTGTGTGCAAGGAGAGCCATGGGAGGGAATCATGTTTTGCCTCACAGGTGTTTGAATCTAAGACAGAGAACACAGCAAAGCAGGGATCTTTCTGAATAATATTGCAGTAAATTTTCCCAGACTCTTAGGAGGTTTCTAATAAAATAGTCCTGTCAACTTCAGTGAATCTTTGATTTATACTGACTGGGGATTTATCCTTCTGCTGGGGCATTTCTAAACTACCTATAATTTTGTTATACTTGCAAGTCAGAGTTATTCTGATGTATGTATTATTGGTTAATATGGATTGTCATCAACCCTTCAGTCAGCTGGCCATGATTCATGAAAGAAAATCACTTCTAATTAAACATTCATCTAATTATTCTTGCCAGAAACAAATGAAATATGCAACCAATATATTCCATAACAGCTTCAGAAGAGCACCACTAGGATTTGTGAAGCCAAATGATTGAATGCATGGGGAAGCTTTTCAGCACATGTTGCATGAGAAAATGATCCATTCCTACCTTTTGACTGTCTTCTGAACATTTCAAGCAGAATTTAATGTCAGACTAGATTTTGGAACAAGGCACATTAATGACTACAGTAATTGCTCTTTGGGAGAACAGATTTGAGTGACAACACTTTCTATAACCTCCAGGGTCTTACTTTCCTATGAACAGCTTAACGTTTAAACAAACTGATTTCTCAATATTTTACCAAAAAAAAAAAAAAAAAAAAGAAAAAAGATCCCTGCAGAGGCCCACATAACTATTTTTCTGTTAATTTTTTTTTTTGTTAACTTAATTAAAAAGAAAAGCTCTAGCATAACAGTTTTCTTTGATTTATCAGTGTATTGCCAGCCTGTTTCATACATGCATCTAAGTAATAGGACGTTGACCCCCTAGAATGGCTTCAAAATTCCTATATCTTATCATTCCCCTTTGTGTCTGAGACTATGAATCTATTTACCAAGTGCCTGGAATAGTTTTGTGAGTCCTGCAAATTTCTTTCTTGCCCTAACAAATCTTGGTTTACAATATCTTGAATATGCAGTAACTGAAGATTTCTCCTGATTTTTAGACATACATGTTGCAAATTGCTCATATATGTTTGATTGCAATCAGTTGAACTTCCCTAGTACTCAAAACTAGTCTAAGTGAAGAGAGAAATAGAAACAACATTTGGCAATATTTTCCTCATCAAAAGGGCATATGTATAAGGTTACCATTTAATTTTGATTTTACAGCATAATCCAATAATCATTAGCAGATGAGTGGCAAAAAGATGTTGTGCCTTTATGGAAACTACAGTAACAAGAATAAATTCTTAAGATTTGTTCACAGTTGTAAGCAAATAATTTCTGTTAAGAAACCTTCTCCTTCTCAATATGAGAAAAATTAAATAGATATCAAACTGTGGAGGATATGCTGTTCAAAGATGTAGAAAAGCCTAGAGATTGATCAAGTTGCTTCTGATACCATCACATCTGCATGTTATCAGGTTCTGGCATGCTACTTCCCTGTAATTATTTATTAAAGTACCTAAAATGAATGTTTTGAAAGGATTTTGCAGAGCAGTTGGAGTTCAGGTTTGTTTCTCAATCCTGCCACAACTTTTATGAGCAGGGTATTTAGAACCACACTGGCTGAAGCAGGTAGGTGATGAAATCTGTTTCTTATGCAATCAGTGGGAAGTAAACATCTAAAAAACCTTAAAAATTTAGTTTCAATGTTCTCTGGAATAATCTCTGGTTGGAAGCAAGCAGTGCAATGCCTGATATGGCTTTGGAGTTGAGTGTAAATTGATCATATCATGGGGATTTCTTGATATCAGTTTGGCTTTTCAGAAATACCTTACTCTTCCGAGGCCTTCTTTCAGTAAACATAAAATATTCAAGTTTTTCACTGGAAGAGTTATATTCTAACCTATAGAACTGACTGTTTAATGACACTTTGATTCCAAACGCAATTTGTTTCATATTTTCTAGAAACAGGGAATTCAGCAACACAAGCAGCTGTAATTGAGAACAATTATTGGAGTTGAGATATTGAATGGAGATGGAGCTGGCTGCCATTGTTGTTTCATACATGCTAAATATCTGCTCCCTGTGGTTCATGACAATTGTGTCAAAAGATCTGGACTCTACAGTCCCCTCTCCCAGAGCCACAAGTGCATTACCTGAACCTGGAAGTTGCAGTACAGCTAGCATTTTATTAATATACTTTTATGTCATAGGGATATTTTGTGACTCTTGAACGCCACCATCAATGTCTCCTCTTTCTCATTCTGAAAATACAGGCAATTTATCTTTGCTTTTCAGTTTTCATAACTAGAGATTACCACTGACTTTAATCCACAGATCATGTCTCCCCACATTGACCAGACTAGTCATCAAATAGTCAGATCTGTAGTCATCTTTCTCTCTTAATTTCCCTATTATCATTTTATTAGCTGCAAATTTCTGCAAAACCACAAAGGCTTCCTTTCCAAATCTGACTACCACAGCTCCCATAATCTGGAGGAGTATTTCAGCAAACTGTGACCACAGAAGAAAGGCAGTTGAGAAATTGCCACAATGGCTCCATCCTTCTGTGATTTCCACCACAGCACCCAAAGCAGTGAGAAGCTGAGGATAGATAAGACAGTGAGAAGCTGAGGAAGCCCCAAAGGCAGTAAAACTGCAGCAGAGGGATTTATTGAGAGTCTGGAGGGGCAGGATCCCTGGGAAGACTGCCCCACACCATTGCTCACACATCCAAAGCACCCAGTTTTCTTCTGCTGCCTCCTGCAGCTCCCAGAGACACAAAGTGCATTTTCCCATGGGAGATTTCTGCGTTCACTTGTGCTGCAACATGAACTTGCAAGTCACTCCCCACACAGTATGAACAGCACTCTCTCCTCTCCCTGCACCTCTGGCAGTGCTGCCTGGTGCCCACATCATCTCTCCTCCCAATGGAACCAGCCTGGATTCAGACCCCAGGGAAACAGCTGCCTCCATGGGTGCCAGATCTCGTGAGATGGTCAAAATTAGGACCATGCCCTTTGCTCACTGTTTTCAAGTTGGCACATCTCCACTTAGCTGTGAGGGATTTGGTTTTTTTCAAGCCCTTTCAATGTGCTTGTGTGCTGTTCAAAGTGTCCAAGCACTTAACTTTATATTTTTGCTTCCATTCCAGGGACCAGTTGGCTAAATATTCAATTTGCAGCATCTAAACATATGGGCATCTACATTCTTTATCACATGTAGCTGAGAGTCCACTGAGCAGTGAGACTTGTTTATGCTAACTGTTCATTTTACATTGTTTTTAATACCGCAAAATAAGGATTTAAATTTGTTTGCAGACAGAAAGCAAATTATTTTTATGTTGTGCTGCCAGAGTAAAATTTTGCTGCATTCAGCTTTCCTCCTCTTTTCTCAGAACTTATCTAAAAATAAATGTTGCACACCTGTCTTGTCTCTGTATTCCATCCAGTAACTAAAGCTAGACATGCATATAGCACCCTGATAAAAGTCTAAGTGAAACCTGGAGGGGGAACTTCACGCACACTGCCTTTGCCAACTGTCCTACTTGCTTCCCATATCAGAGAGCTTACACCATCCAAGTATTTCTTCATCCAAGAAATACTTCCAATGTAACATGGACAACCCTCAAGTAATCAGGCAGTCAGGCTTAATGGTCATTTTAAGCCTCTACAAACTGAAATATTTTATTCTATTGTATTCTAAACCAAAACTCCATTTTCTTGCTCTTTCCACCATGGAGTTTTGCCCAGTTTTCCCATTCAGTTTATTTCGGGCTGGATTCTCACCTTGGCATGCTGGCAGTCATGGCAGTGCAGGTCGATCACGACATGAACCAGGGCCAGGAGCACATTCCACTGCTGGGAAGATCCCGCACCTCACACTGCAGCTCCCGCTGGCAGAAGGGAATCAAGCCAAAACGCTGCTGGCACACTAGCATGTATGACAGATTCATTTTCCTGCGGTGAATGAATTGGCAAATTACTGTTTCTGAATCAGATTGGGCCTCAACAAGTCTTGTGCTGTCAGATACACCTCAGTTTCTGGGATTTTACGTCATCCACATTTCTGTTTCACACCCGTAATTTCTGTCTTCCAGAAGAAATGCTCTTTTTTCTCATTTTAGAAAACATTGTGACTGCTGTTATGCTGCCATAACAATATGCCATTGGCTAAGAGCTATTTTGGAAATTCATGTCAGGTCTGTTCAACCATTTTCTTTTTTTCTTCTCCATTAAATCAGACTTGCATCCCAGGCCACAGCCAGAGAAATCACAACCATTGATTTCCGACTTGTGCTAGTTCATGCAATTCCCCCCAAAACTTTTGTGGTAATCTCATCTTCTCCAGAGTTATGTGGGTGGTCTGCTCATGAGCCCAGCTGGGAGCAGCTCCTGTTGGATTTCAGAGGGACAGATTCTCATTGTGTGCATATCCAGCCACTGGGCTTCTGCAGATGGGAGACCATCTCTAAAGCATAGAATACTGAGGTCAGGAATACTGAGATCAGCTGGCCAAATCAGAGCTTAAACTGGGGACCAACCAGTCTGATCTGACCCAGCTATGTCCTGCTGCTTTTGAAAAGGCGAGAAATACATAAAACTGAAAATGGTTTTCCTGCATTGCATAACCAAGCAAAGCTCACTACTGGCATAAAAAGCATTCTCAGGAAAAGGCTGTACTATGGTATGGATTAAAAGTTTTTCGTTTCTATCTGCTACATTGAAATGACAAGTGTCAATCCCTGAACTTTAAAGCATAACATAAAGTCAGAAAAAGATTCCCTGAGGATGAAAGCTTTGCAAAGTTTTGTCAAAAAAGGCACTGTAGAGTAATTTTACCTTCTGATGGAATACTTATGAATAGCAGTGGAGACAAGTGATTGGACTAGTCACTGGTGTGTGATGTTAAGATTCCTACATAGGAAATCACTGTAAAATCACTGAGAGACATGAGAGGTTCACACTGTCTTCACCTATGAAAATAAAATTCTCATGGGTAGATTACAAAGTATAACATTTAATTGCAATCAAATGAGCACAAAAAGGTTTATCTTTGGTGATTATTAGCTTTTTTAGATTACATGTTTTGAGACAAGGAAATTCTTTTAAGTCTTAAGTTGTTCAGATCTTTTCTTCTTTTGCAGATTTTTTGCAAGACCTCAGGAGGCACCAATAGTATACAGTCTAAGAATTTCTCTCTTTTCCCCAAAATGTGACAGCAAAACAATTTTAGAAAACCCACCAACCCAAATGACTGTAATAATTTGTTAAAATTAAGGATGGATGTGATGGATCCTGAGACACTGGAACAGTGGGGTAGAATACAACATAATGCCCCACAAGCAGTACAAACACTGTTACAGCACTGCTGTGAGCTTCCAGGGCAGTAAGAGAATTGTGCCCACGAGGAAAATAAATCAGCAATGTAGTAAATGTTTCAGAAGGGTTTTGGACTGGAGTCCACAGTGTCTTGACATGCAACAATTGAATTAGCCTTCATTCTGCTCTAAAGACATCAGATTTCTACCCTGTAGTGAGGCAAAGTGTCTGTGAAAGCCAAGAAGAAAGCATGGAGCCCTTTAGAATGAGGAGGGACACATAGTTTGTACTTTTTCCCCTAATAAATCTACAAATAGCTCAGCCAAGCTTTAAATAATGCAGGCAGGCTCTTTGCTTCTTCCTACAAATTTGCCTTTTAATGGAAATACACACTTCCTAATTTGACATGGCCACTTCTAATGGAAATATGGGGTTATATGCAAGTGATAAACTTCTGATTCTAGAATTAAAGAAGCAAAGTAAGTCTGCTTCAGAGCAAATGCAGCATCTTTAAATTCCTTCCTTGCTTATGCTGTTGTATAACGAGGGTACCATTAAGCTTTTTCAAACTATCATCACAGATGAATCAAAGCAGTATTAGTGGCTTTGCAAACTGTGAAAGTTTATCTCAGGTGAGGATGCATCCAGCAATTTGTGCCTGTGTGTGGGCACAAGCACGTGCTGGGGAGGAAAATGCGGGCACCACCACAGATTCCTGCTTTTCTCCATTTGTTTATATTTAGCAGTTTCTCAGTTCAGCCACCGTTTAAAGCGTAAGCTCTTTCAAAGCTCTCTTTAAAGTCCTACATTTTTTGAGAGACATTTGAGAAAATGTCTCTCAAAAAGTGAGAAAATAACCTTTAATGTGTCCATGCCTCATAAAAGAGATTTAAACACCTCTCAGGTAGCACGTAATCAATCATCTAGTAAGATTTAATCCAACTATGAGATCAACTAAGAAATTGTTCTGGGGGCAGCTCTTATAAATCAGGAGTGTATTTAGATAAATAGTAATAGTGGTGATTTAGTAGCAGTAGTAAATATTTTTTTACCCATTTCTACTTTATTAAGGCCTCAATACAAACTCAATACAAACCCCACTCTTACAGGTAAAAACTGAATTAGAAAATAAAACATAACAAAGCATATTTTTGATTACATGGGAAGTGAGACTGACATTGCTTCTGCTACTGTTGAACACTTACAAGTACTATTAACTTCAGAAATTACAGAAAAACTGTCATCCTGAATAACTTTAATATTTAAGATAACAAGTAACTGTAGCTTTCTTGAACCGATTAATCTCCCTTCCTTTCTCATGAAAAAAAATTCCATGTGAAAATAAAATTGCATGTTTCTTACATCATGAAGCCTCTTTACCCAACTGAATAGAAGAGTTTTCCACTAAAATGTATTTATCCTTAGGCAGAGCATAAGTACACATGGTTATGAAGGTCAGATTGCTTTCTAATCTGAGTGAAATACATGTACCATATTTAGCAGGCACATGTACAAGTAAGCCCATACAAGATGAGAGAGTGAGAAAAGCAATTATAATTGCTTTTATATAATATATATATATTATATATAATATATAATGAATTCTTAGGTTTTCATGTTATATTTTTGCATTCCAAGAAGAAACCTTTGCAGGTCTTCAGGAGTGGAGGTAAGAGAGAAGTTTCAACTTCTGATAGGACTCTTGGCTTATTATTTTAAAATAAAACTTAAAACATCTTTGGTGTACTGAAACCTTTTGTGATCTTTCAAAAATTATATTAATCCACAGAGCAAGTTTTATTCTAGGCAAAGCTGGATAGCAAAATTCTGCTCTCAGTGCAACACTTTGGATGCCCACAAATTGTGTGAATCTGTCACTAAAAGATGAATTTAATGCCAAATATCTGTATTTTCCACGTCTATTGACAGGCCTACAAATAAGTTTTCTAATTAGATTGCTACAGAGAGAATAATCTGATCTTTATACTTTAGGGAGGTTTTGCATTTAAACAGCCTTGAGGACGACACCTTGGCATAAGGATATTAGTGGTTTATGCATCTATACAAAGAAACACCATTGATTCGCTCTTTGATCACTACTCAGACGAAATCAAAGCAAACCCATATCTTCCAGGGGTTTTAGGCTTACTACCTATTTCATAGACAAGCTAAGTGTTTTGCCATGTACACCATCATTGTGGAAATGTACATGACATGTGTTTTTAGGAGATATGGTAAAGACAAGAAGATTTTTACATATCTTGAAAGGGTGAAAAGTTAAGAAATGTTATGCATGTAACATAATGCCACAACAGTCAAGGTCTCATCTATCTTCCCCTTTTTAATTCTATTGTAGCACAGGAAGAGTACAAAAATTCAATAGAAAAGAATTAACGAAAATCATTACATTTCTTACAGCAAATCATGAACAATTGTGTGGTGTCACTGAAGAGCATGAAGTACAGTCAAGTCTAAAAGTTGGAAGTGCCCTATTATTCATTTTTACTGAAAATCCAAGAGGGCTTCTTGTAAATTCAAATTTGTCATGTGGTCCTTAAAGTAGGCCTTTCAACATATCAAACAGTTGCTTCAGAACCATGAGCTGTTTCTGTGTTTATGGGGTTCACAGCATTTGTAAATGGCTAAAATGCTCTGTTAAGAAGCAAAAATATGGAGTGAAAACTGGATCTTTTTCTCTACCAACATAAAACTACAACCCATATTCAAAATACAAACATATGGAGATTGAGAAAAACATTGCTTTTCCTCTCCATTTAAAGAGCTTCAGTGGTTTTGTGTTTTCACTTCTCTCTAGCCTTTGTAAGGATTATACTCATGAATCAAAAAGTCTCAATCTAATTACTGAAAGAAATTTCTTCAGAATCCACAACACTTAGGTTAGCTCCTGACCTCAGGCAGACCAAGCCATCTGGCTTGGCTCCTTATTGCTTGTAGCAACATAAATGGACCTCAAGCATCAGCTGTTGGCTATGCCAAATTCTGATCTTTTTTTTTTTTTTTTAATCTAACTTTTTCTCCATTCTTTAATAGACAATTAAGAGCTGAAATTGCACCAAGTAGATGACAAAATGCCTATGGAGATCTCTGCTTCCTAGGAAGGATACTTAGAGCCTCAGCACCAAGCAGCAGCAGCAGCCTGCACCCATCCTGTATTCCACAATCTGTAATTTCAGCTACATATCTATTTATTCCAATGCTGCAATATTCCATTTCTGAATGAGTTCCCACATCATGGTGACACATGCCTAGCATTATTGCATTTTAGACAGCCATCTGTACTGATATATTCAGCCAATAATTTGCCACCAGGAAATTGGTTCCTGGGAATATATTTTTTATGCAGAGTGCATGCATGCCTGTCTCTAATTTCTAAAATCCATATATCCTTGATGTGTCTTGTAGTAAGATGAAATCCTATTTCATCCTGAACCGCTCGTAAAATGTAATTCTTGGTATTAATTAACAGTCAAGAAAATTTATGTCGTAGTTCATCAGCAAAACCTTTGCACTAGCATAATAATCCCCAAAAGGATAAGTAGCAACATGGCGATGCCAGTTAGCTAAATATAGCAAATTGCAGGGAAGAATGAAATGGGTCTAAAGGGACACAGGTACTC